AAACAAAACCAGAATGCTAATAATTATATATATATACATATATATATATTTATACAGATAGATATATACTGTAAAAAATACACGGTTAATTAATTTATAAAGCAGTACAAATGGCTCAGTGCAACTCACTCCCGTGAGACATTTGTGAGACACTGGCAGTCATTTGAGTCTTGAGGGCTGCCGGGTAGTCCTCTGTAGAGCAATTCAGGCTACCTGGGCACAGGCAGCAAACAGCAAGGCAGGTCACCAACAGTCAACCAGATGACAGGGTCTGACAGTCCCCAGCTCAAGAGATGTAAATTCCAGTGATGTGGCAAAGCAGGCCTTGAAGGAACCTCAGATTACAGCAACACCATCCACGGGTTAGGTGTCCCACAGGTAATTTGTAGCTTGCAAATTGAGGCAAAGAACAAGCAAGGCAGCCGCACACTGGTCCGATGATCAAAGAGCAAGAGACAAGAAAGGCGAGGCTCACTGAGCCGTTTATCTCTCCACCCTTCGATTAATCCCACATGTGTCTATCGGCAATGTTGGCACAATAAACTACCTCACATGATTTGGGTCAGGTTGACATTAATCCTCAAGGTTAAAGCCTCCTTGCTTTTCAATACTTTAAAGAGGTCTTGTGCAGTAGATTTACCTAATTCAGTGTGTCTTTTGATCTCTTGACTGCTGCTTCCATGAGCATTGATTGTGGATCCAAGCAAGAAGACAAAATCCTTGGCAGCTTCAATCTTTTCTCCATTTTTCATGGTGTTGGTCCATTTATGAGGATTTTGGTCTCTTTGACATTTGAATTGCAATCCATATTGAAAGCTGCAATATTTGATCTTTATCAGCAAGTGTTTCAAGTCCTACTCATTTTCAGCAAGCAAAGTTATGTTATTTGCATATCGCAGGTTGTTAATAAGCCTTCCTCGGATCCTGATGCCATATTCTTCTCCATATAGTCCAGTTTCTCTCTTAATTTGCTCGACATACAGATTGAACAAGTATGGTGAGAGGATACAACCCTGACACACGCATTTTCTGGTTTTACGTCCTGCAGTATTTCCTTGTTGTTTGCCAACTGCCTCTTAATCCATGTGTAGATTTCAAATGAGCAATGACAGGTTCTAGAATCCCTATTCTTCTCAAGGCTATCCTCATTTGTTATGGACCACACAGTCATATGCCTTTGCATGTCAATAAAATACAAGTGGACACACCTTTCTGGTATTCTCAATTTTCACCCAAGATCTGTCTTATGTCACCAATAATATCCCTTGGTCCACATCCTCTTCTGATTCTGGTCTGCCCCTCTGGCAGCTCCCGATCAGTGTATTGCTCCAACCATTGGAAGATGATCTTCTGCAAAATTTTACTTTCATGTGATATTATTGATTTGTCGTATAATTTGAGCATTCATTGGGTCACTTTTCTTTAGAATGAGTACCAATAGGATCTCTTCCAGTCAGTTGGCCAAGAAGCTATCTTCCAAATTTCTTGACATTAAAAGAGTGAGTGTTTCCAGTGCTTCATCAACTTGTTGAAACATTTCAACTGGTATTCTGTCAATTCGTTGACTGTTGTCTATGACAAATGTTTCAGTGTAGCATGAAGTTGACCCTTCGGTACCATTGGTTCTTGCACATACTTGTCATTAATGGTTTGTTCTTGTTTATTTGAGTTTGGGGTTTCTTTGGTTTTGGTATTCAGTATAGTTTCTTTTACTATCAATGAGAGATCATTGTGTGTTTTGAAAAGAAACCAATATAAAGTTATTTGTTATTAGCACCAATATACCCAAAGATGTGAAGTTCTTCTGTTTACAGAGAGTGAGTTTGGGAGTAGCCATGATTCTGGATTTAAACTGTACAAGTAAATAATCCATGTATTACAATTTGTAGCTAGCTTACACTTGCTTACTCTCCTTTACTCAATTGTTGTTTAAATATATTACTGAGTTAGCTTATTGTGCCAACCTGGCTGATAAACACATGTAGGATTAATTGAAGGGCGGAGGGATAATTGGCTTGGTGAGCCTTACCTTTCTAGTTCTCGGGTCTCTTGCTTTGTGATGGTCGCACCAGGGTACAGCTGCCTTACCAGTTCCCTGCTTCAGCTTGCAAGACTGACTTACCTACAAGACATCCCCAAGAGAAGCCACATGGACCTACCCCGATGCAGCCCTGGGTGGTGGAGCACCCGTGTGTAGACCTTTGCCAGCGCTGAGATCCTTGCACATTCACTGATTTGGCTTTCCTCCTGTAGTCGGCATCATTGTGTCTGTTTTGTGAGATGGAGGAGGACTTTTTGGACTGGTGTTGGACATATGGGTTAATGGGTTAATTTTGGACTTGTGGGCTTGGGCAGCACTGGGTTGGGATGTTTTCTTGATGCGCACTTAACGTTTATATAAAACTCTCTTATACATGAGTTGCTGTGGATTTGTTTCTCTAAAGTACCTAGACTAATACAATTACCATGGACTAAAACAATGACACTGTAAACAGAAGCACCCTATGTTCCAGGGTGATGATTTATAATGTTCTGTAACATGAAATAGCAAAGATGTCTCTAAAGCAGTGGTTCTCAACCTTCCTAATGCCGC